CACAATTCCATACCACGAAGGGCATGTCACAATTCCATACCACGGAGGGCATGTCACAATTCCATACCACGAAGGGCAGGTCACAATTCCGTACCACGAAGGGCAAGTCACAATTCCGTACCACGAAGGGCAGGTCACAATTCCGTACCACGAAGGGCAGGTCACAATTCCGTACCACGAAGGGCAGGTCACAATTCCATACCACGAAGGGCAGGTCACAATTCCGTACCACGAAGGGCAGGTCACAATTCCGTACCACAAAGGGCAGGTCACAATTCCGTACCACGAAGGGCAGGTCACAATTCCTTACCACGAAGGGCAGGTCACAATTCCGTACCACGAAGGGCAGGTCACAATTCCATACCACGAAGGGCAGGTCACAATTCCATACCACGAAGGGCAGGTCACAATTCCATACCACGAAGGGCAGGTCACAATTCCATAATCAACATATTATCCACAACCGTAAGATTAACGCAGTTAAATAGGAAATTCATGATATTTCCCGTTTAATCGTGTTAATCCACCGAAACCCTCCAACTAGTGAGTGTCGTTGGAGTTTCCAATGCTAAGATTCTAATACCACAAAGGTTAATGCTGCTCCTTCACCTGAGTAGCCGCTAATGGTTGCACTAAAGCTCAGTTGCGTTCTCCGCCGTCTCCTCCAACCTTAGGGTCTTTCAACCCACAACAACAACAATCACAACACATCAATTTACATGTCAAGACAAGAATAATACCAACCAAAACTTATACAACACAAGACAACATCATCTATTTACTTCATCCTCAAAAGGAAAGGTTTCCATAATATTGAAATGACTCTACGGTTTTGAAAACAACCCTTCATACACCCATTACGAAAAACAACTCATGCTCTACTAGTTTTACAAGGTTTTCCAAAACAAAACGAACCACAATGTCAAAAGAGGGTTTATGGGGTTTTATCCCTAAACGTGGAGAAGAAACCCTATCCAAAACAAGACATTCAACCCTAAGAGAGACTAAGTTAAGCGATTTACCTCTTCTCCGGCCTCTTTCTCGACTCTAAGGGTGCACAACTCCTCAAACCGTTCCTCTCCTCTTTGTTTTTCGAAAAATAACCCTTATCCTCACTTGGGACGTCTATTTATGTTTTCAGAGAATCTCACCGTGTTAAGTGTAATCGATTACCATAAATGTGTAATCGATTACAGTGTGAAAAATGCACATATCTGATGTTTTTAATATGATGTAATCGATTACGAGTATAGTGTAATCGATTACATCATGAAAATTACACATGTCTGATAAGATATCATCATGTAATCGATTACCAGGACCATGTATTCGATTACATCATGAAAAATTACACATGTGTGATCAGATATCAACATGTAATCGATTACCAGGACCATGTAATCGATTACACTGTGTCGACAGCCCAAAATTGTCATTTCACGCCTAGGCAAGAATCTCTCGCTCAAGCGAGACTTACAGAACTGATATTATAATTTTAAGGACTAAAAATTAGGATGTTACATAGTCTGTTTGCACTTAAAGCACTCTACTCGTGTTATGCCCTTGAAATTTGTTGTTTTCCCTTTGGCAGGACCTCCTCTGCCTTGTATCCTCCCTCATGTTTGGCTCACTTTCACATAGATATCATCACCCTGAGACCCTTCTCCTACATTATGTCTTCTTTCAGTGTGGGACAAAAGTGCAGATCTTATCTCATCTAGTTTGATTTAGTTTTTACTGTACGTCAATGTTGTCACCAAGTGTTCATAGGAATTTGGCAAAGAACATAGTATTATTATTGATTTGTCCTCATCATCAACCTTCACATCAAGTTTCTGCAAGTTATTGATCACTGATTAAAAGTGTTAAGATGTTGTTGCAAATCAGTACCATTCTGCATCTTCAGGCCATAAAGTCTTTGTTTCAAATACAGTTTATTTGTTAGAGAATTGGACATGAACCGCTTCTCTAATGTCTCTCATACCTCTATTGGTGACGTCAAATTCATAACATAATACATCACCTCATATGATAGACAAAATTGTATGGTTCCTGCAGCCTTCTCCTTCAATTCTTCCCAATCAAGTTGGTTCATATCATCTGGTTTATTATCACGCAACGCCTTTGATAGTCCTTGTTGAGCCAACACGTCCTTAACTCTCCTTTGCCACAATATGAAATTACCAGTTCCATCGAACTTCCCTACCTCGAATTTGGCACATGGGTTAAGAGCCATCTGATACCAATTGTTGGAAACAAGCGATCAATCAAATAGTAAAAGAGAAGAGAAGAGAATAACACAAGAATTTGGCAGAGGTTCGGCCACTTGTGCCTATGTCCCTGGTAGCGTTGAGAGGCTACCACTATGTATTAGAGAATAAGGATTTGTGTTTAATTTTGTTCTCCTTGTTACATTAAGTTTACATAACATAACTATGTATAGTCATCTACTCAACCTTTTACATCAGCCCAAACCCATAACTTGTATTGTTGTTATGATGAAAAGAAGTCCGATCCATTGAATATGAGCCGTTGCACAACATACATGATTAGGAAGATAAATACATACATTGGAAATGGTATGTCCTTGTGCCTTACTTATTGTGAGTGCAAAACTAAATCGCACAAGAAATTGCTTTCTAATAAGAACAAAAGGGAGTCTCACATTTTCTGATGTTTTAAGTTTAATCCTAGCCAAAAAAGCTTTATGTTCATCATGTTGGCCACTTAGGACTTCCACATATAACATATTAATGCACGTTCCACGACATAGTAACCTCGTCTCATTACATAAGCCAACTTTCGGGTCTATGTTTCGCAACAACATCAACGATGTACCTTTTTTTACTTTTAGAACATGTGGTGGTAAACCACCAGGACTAATGGAGTTTAAGTATTCTTGCTGGTATAAGTTGTTTATGTCTCCTTCAACCTCATCAAAAGATACCTCATGATTGATAATTATGTCATTTAGTTTATGAACATTCTTATTTGTGGGTTTTAGTATAACTCTTTCTGACATATAAGAACCATCACATCCATGACTTCTCAAATTGGGAAATATTTATTGTATAAGTTGTTGTATCAAATCATCTCTTTCCCACCTTATTGTCATCTTCTGGGGTATTTTGACCAAATCATCATGGATTGTTGATTCAAGACCATCTCCAATCCTCATAAGATATTCAACAAAATTGTGGTCTTGCAGTGAACGCATATTTTGACGCAAATGTAAGACGTTTGTATATGCCCACAAAGGAGACTTAATAATACATGCACCTATCATTTCTGTGTAATTACCCTTTGGTATCACTAGAAGTACTTGTCTAAAATCTCCTCCCAATATTACAACTTTCCTCCCAAACGAAGCATCACAACCTATAATATCTCTCAATGTTCGACCTACTACTTCCAAAGCATATATGTTTATCATTAGTGTTTCATCCTAAACTATTGTTGATGCTTGTGTAATTAGTTTCACAATGTCAGATTGTTTGTTAATTGAGCATACTGATGATGAATATGGGTTTAGATGTATCTTAAAGCGTGAATGTGCGGTTTGACCACCAGGTAATAATGTTGCAGCTATTTTAAAAGTGGTCGTTGCTGGCACAATTTTTCTGATACTTCTTAATTTTGAAATTAAAGCACGACAAAGGCACGTCTTACTTGTTCCTCCCGAGCCATCCATAAAAAAAACCTTTACCTTGATTATCCTCAATGACATTCATGATAGTGTTGAAAACAAATGATTGATCAAAATTTAGTTTTCCCACATCATCCAAATCTTGATGAGAAATTTGGAACGACAGTTGTTCTTGACTTCAGGATCATGTAATGGTAAAGTTGACAAGTCAAAATCTGAGATTTGTTTTCCATGAAAAAGAAAAAGGTCATTCAAATCTATGAGAAACTTATTTGTAAAGTTAGTTCTAGTGTTAGAGCTTGCTGAAGAGTAACATTCTATCATATAGCTTTCGAACTCTTCCCACAAACTTCTAACATCAGTAGGTTCACAGAACACTAGTATTGTAACAAATAATCTCCTTAATACAATTGGTGTTCGTAAATTTGAAGCTTCAACTAAGAATTGACGAATATTGTCGTATCCCTCTAAAAAAACCTTTCTCTTGAGCTGATTACTTGAAAGTATGGAAGCAAGAGCCATTTACTTTAAGTAAGTTTTTCCATCAGGTTGGGCCTCTAACATGATTCAACAAACACATAGGTAGAATTTATCTCCTTCTGAAGGAGATACTGTGTACATTCGACCTAAAACCCTCATTCGATTCCTTCTTCAGTGCCATTCTTTATTGCTTTTGTCCCAAGTATAATGTTTTGGAATTTATGTGTAAAGATAATGTATTACTTCTACATCCAAATGGTTTAGTGCAAAGAATTGTGTAAGCATGATTTTTGAGTTATGATCGTCATTTAGAATGTCGTTAATTATTTGATGATCATAAAACTGTGCTTGTTGGCGATTTGACAAGTGGATTTGTAATCTTACAACTAAATGATATAATTGGTAAAGATTAAATCCTAATATCTTCCATAAGACCTCTGGTGCACAAATCCATCTTGCATCAACATATTGTTGTATTTCATCAATATTTACCTCTCTATGAACTTCAATTGTTAATCGATCAGATTCTTTGTAAACATATTTATATAGATATTTTATGCTCTTAATGCTACTACATACCTCGACATTTATGTGGCAATCATACTTCAACAACAACCCAACGATTATCCATAGTGACACGTCTCTTGAGACTCACATGTTTGTCACTTCGTCTTTTTTACTCTGGATAAGAGTTATTACCTTGTTGTGTTTGAGGTGGAAATTTTTTAGGAATTTTTTTTGCAACATCTATCCTTCATACATGGGCCATTCAGATTGACAATGTCGTAAGGTCCATGAATCATGTGTTTTAAGACCGCATGATGTAATTGTGGCTCCTCTTCGTAGTTTGGTATTTGTGCCCTCACAATTGCATCATATTCTTCTGTGCTACATGATTTATCATTGTTTTCCAAATTAAGAAGCATGTGCACATGTGGCAATATCCTCTTTTATGGAATTCTGTAACATACATGTAGCTCTTCACATTCCCCAAGGCGCCTTTATCAATGACATCAACCCTCAATTGTTGGAGTTCAGAAATGATTTCACTCCAATATGGATTACATGTCATTGTAAGGAAAATGTTTAGTTTGTCATCGTTAAGTACAATTTCCATACCATCTTCATAACGCTGAGTCAAGTCTCGACGAATTCCAATGAAGGATGATGATAATATAGTTTGTTGTCCAACATTTGCTGTAATAAAAAAATGATTGTGTAAATGTAGGTAAATTTAATTGTGAGTATTGCCTAAAATTTAATTTTTCAAATGGTTACCTGCATTATATTCTCCTACATGCAAAACATCTAGTAAACCTTGATACACTTCAGTGCTTATATTATTTTGATTTTGGCGGATCCACCTTAACCTTCCCGCCTCAACTTTGATGTAGTTGTCAACAACATATTGTTGTAAAAGTCATCGTGATCGTAACAATAATGATCGATCATTGAGACGAATCTACAAATATACATTGTTAAATTGTTTTGTTTGTGAATGAAGTAATAAAAATAATATAGTATTGGAATATGATATACATATTATTCATGAAAAGTATGTGTAGCATGTAACTGTAATACTCGACATGTAATACATCTACCATTATGGCTTGTTGTGTTTATATCCCACCTGTATGTTCCATATGGGAAGAGAATAGGATATTGCAAGAGATCATAATACCCTACAGTTTATTGGATCCTCAATAGATTTCCTGCATGAGTTGATATTTTAATATCTCTTCCATTTATCATTATTTCAACATCACCAACAACCTTGCATTGCACCATGTACATGAGGTTGGAGTGGGTGATTGGGATGCAATGATTCTCCTGTCAGCTCAAAAGTTTCTAGCACTATTATGTCTTGCATGGAATGTGTATCTCACACTTGTTCCCTGTTCTCGGAGAACATGGAACATTGTTGATGAAAATTGATCACTTGTATTTTTAGATGATGACCAAAACATTGATACATTTCTCATGGATAATGTTCATTTAAGTTATCTTCCATAGATTGGAAGGGATAATATTAAGTAATTAAAAAATATTTTTATATGAACCTCCAATAGGTTCATGGGTATGAGAATGAGATGATCTTGGTTCATTGTAATGTGTTTCATTATGGTGTCTTGCACCAAAGTTATAACCTGAAGGAATAATTTAAAAAATATGTAAGATTTAAAACTTTATATTTGTTAAATGATTTTATAAATAATGCACAACAAAAACATAAATGAGATATCCAATGATGTATTGTTATTGTGGGAAGCAATAAAATTTTCATGGTTATGATGATGACCTAAACTTGCATCATTATCACGTACTCTATCATAACTTGGTGCCACAGAATGTATATGTGATGATAAAACAATTGTATAATTTCAGTAAGGATTCTCGCTTGAGCGAGGGTTGGCTCGCTTGAGCGAGAGTGGTCTCGCCTGAGCGAGAGTTGGCTCGCCTGGGCGAGAAAGGCTCAACTGGAAGGGTGAAATCATGGGCTATACGGAAGGATTCTCGCCTAGGCGAGAAAAGTGATGTTTTGGACCTGTCGAGGCTGTAAGATCCTCGCCTGGGCGATAGTTCCCTCGCTTGGGCGAGAGTGTCAGATCTGAGTTTTTAAAATAGGCAGAATTTTCTCGCTTGAGCGAGAATGGGTTTGCTTAAGCGAGAACCCGACGAGACAACATTTAATGAGAAACCCCAAACACATTTTAGGGTTAAGAATTGAAGAGAGATGAGAAAAGAGAGCTTTTCCAAGGGCAGAGAGCTTTGATACTCATCGAAGAGCTTGAGAATAGGTAAAACTCTTGATTCTAACTCTCTTCTTCTCTTTGAAACTCATTTTGAGTATGTTGGATCTCTTCTCAAAATGTGAGAAACCATGGAAACTCATCCTTTTGAGTTATGGTTCGTTTTATGTTGTTTTTATCTTGTAAACTTTTGATTTAGAGTTAATATTTCAAGAACGGAAAGGGTTTGTGGGTTGATTCATGAGAACCCAAAAACCCTAAAGTGAAAATGTGGTTAAAGAGGAAAATGAGTAAAATGCTAGAAGTAGAAGATGATTAAGCATTCTAATGTTGAAATATGAGATGAATATGTATGTTTTAGATGTTGTAAACTTATGACGGAAGTAGATTAGAAACATTGGAAATGTGTTAAATATCTTGTATTGTTAAATAATGCAATATAAGTTGTTTATATGATATTTGGAATAAATGACTAACATTGTGTTATATGGTGGGGATGAGGAAAGATCCTAAAGTTGGCGGCGATATCGGTGGAACTTGTGAAGTTGCCAAGAATCAAACCTAACACTCACTGAGGTAAGGATAAGTCTTTATTTGTGCATTTGGAATGGAAAATGTGTGTATTTTATGGTTATGCAATGGTTGAGTTGTGAATTACGCATTTAGTATAAACATATATGGGTGTGTTTATACTAAAGTAGGCGTAGATTTACGGGAAATGAAAAATGTGTGTGTTTTGTAGTTATGCAATGATTGAGTTGTGAATTACGCATTTAATATAAATATATGGGTGTGTTTATACTAAAGTAGAAGTAGATTTACGGGAAATGGAAAATGTGTGTGTTTTCTAGTTATGCAATGATTGAGTTGTGAATTATGCATTTAGTATAAACATATATGGGTGTGTTTATACTAAAGTGGGCGTAGATTTACGGGAAATGAGAAATGATGAAATCAAGGAAAGGAAAATATATTTTTAGCCGACCATGAATGGTTAGCGACTCTGGCTTGAGTATATAAGTGAAACTCTGACTTGAGTATATAAGCGAAACTCTGGCTTGAGTATATAAGCGAAACTCTGGCTTGAGTATATAAGCAAAACTCCGGCTCGAGTATATGTAGCACGTTTTCTTTTAAAAGGAATGAGAATTTGCTTTTAGTTAGCCTTAAGGGGTATAACGACTTTGGCTCAAGTTATGCAGCAAAGAAAATGAATTTCAAAATGGTTTACTAACCTTTTTCTAATGTGGATTATCTTATGATGACAATTATGGAATTAATGACTTACTCATTTGTATGTTTTGTGTTTTTGTCATTGATAACCCCGTTGCAGATAAACAGGTGATGTGAGGGGACTCATTTTTGGAAGCGTTAGGAACTTTATATTTTGGATTCATCTAATTGCACTATTTTGTACTATTAGTGCATATTTGATAGTCTAAAGCATACTGTAACTATGGATGTAATAACTTACATGGTGCATTGTAACTTTGGATATGGGTGTTTTGGAGACCCATAGCTGGATGTATGCGATAGTTACCGAACTATATTTATATGAATTTTGTTTTCCTGTTAAATCGTATGTATGTGACTATGGGGGCATGAAACAAGTATGTTGAAAATATAATAGTAAGTGTAGAAAAATGCATGCAAAAGGAATAAAATAAAGAAAAAATTTCAAGGGTAAAATTTCGGTCCTTACACATCTCATGCTTAAAACTTATAAATTTGAAGTTTTATTGTAAACTAGGAGTCTGAAAGTTTCAGACTATGTTGGCTAGTTGGTTAGAACTTATAAGTTTTAAACCAAAACGATATATTATTGTGAGATTGGAGACTTTAATTTGTGATTTTTTGCTCTAAAAGACATTTACAAGACGTTGTCATTATTTATTTTTGAAATTGTGATTATGTTAGTTATAAGTGTGTTTTTTGTAAAGAAAAAACGGGCTAGTCCGTCGGGCTGTCAGCCCGGGCAAATATGGGTTGGACTGACATTTTGAGTCTTTTTAGCAATAAGGGTTGAGTCAGCCCATATTTTGGTGGGCCAAAGGCTGGTCGGACCGTGCCTGGCTGACCCGTATTGTCACCCCTACTTACACCCTTCATCACTTGGGCTTTAGCCTTCCTTAGGTTTCAAAGAGAAAGAAGGGAAAAAAGATAGAGGGAGAGAAGTAGAGTAGAAAGTAGGGTTTTCACCCATTTGGTTAAGAAGAGAGATGATAAAAATGATGTGGGACCCACGAAATTTCTTTATCTCTAACTATGAGGAGAAAGTTGAGATAAGAAAATTGAATTATGTGAAATGACAAACATGTCCTTTGAAAGTCATTCTTTAACAAATATTTTTTATTGTAAGGGTATTTTTGTCTTTTAAAACATATACATTTCTATTTTCTCACTTTCTCTTCTTTTTATTTTTCTCTTTCTTCTCCCTCATACCAAACAATATAAAAATTCTTATATTTTCTCACTTCTTTCTTTCTATTTTCTTTCTTTTTATTATCTCTCTCACACATTTCTTTATTTTTACTTTCTTTCCTCAACCAAACAAAGTGTTAGTGCTAATGATTATGGAAATATGTATTTTTTAATCTAAGCATCTTTAGGTTAGCAAAACTCATATATAATTCAAATATTTATTTAGTGTTTAATATTTTTACTGCATGGTGAAACATTTATTGTGTTAGGTTGTTTTCTCTTATTCACCTCATGTTTTATTACAACAATTAATTAACAATCCATAATACAATTGCTGGGGTTAAGCCCAAATTGTGTATACAACCCAACCCAATTAGAGAAGAAGAAAACTTAATTGTACGCAAATATGCAACTCTAATTTACAACAGCAACATCAACAACTAACATAGAGGCAAAGATGAATTTCAATCCTAAACACCTTCCTCAAGAGTCCAACTCTATTTCCTCCTCTTACTCTCAAACAACCAATGTGAACATCCAATTTTGCCGAACCTATATTTATAAAAATAAAAAATCTTAAAACAACATTTTGTCTTGAAGAACCAATTATTTTTCATTTGACTTTTTATGGTTGATGGTGGTTTTTTTTATAAAAAAAATCAATTTTAAGGTTATTAATGAGGACTTTGGAATTTATTAAATAAGGTATTGGATAGGGTGTTGAAGATGATAAAATGGATCTGTGGGAAATTATTTAGAGGATACATTAGGCTTCAAGGTGACCAAGTTATAGAATTTCTATCTATGCTTAACGCCTGTGGCTTATAAGGGTGCATTTTTCTCAACAAAGTAAATGAAATGAAAGAATAAAAATGGTGTCTCTTTACTTTCATCATTTCTATCTTATGCCAATCTCTAAATAAGGAACATATACAAGTGTTGTTGTTACAAATAAAGTTTAAATCAGGAATCAATACAGTTGCTACAAATAGTTCCACAAGTCTTGAATTGTATGTCAATAAGTCAATTTCTATTCAAGGTAGTCAAAATCGAGATTTTACCTGGAATCAGAAGATGAGTCAAAGATCGTAAACGTGGGATCGTAACACGACTCGAAAGATTTTACTTGTCAACAAATAAATGTAAAGAAATTCTTATATATATATATGAAATAGTAGACATAAATTAAATTTAAACTTAATAGTGAAAGAAAAGAAAGAAAATAAAATAAAGAAAATAGAAATATTTTAGTGGGAAAGGGAGAAGTAAACGTGCAGAGACAGGGAAAGAAAAGAAAAGGGTTTTAGTGGGGAAGTGAGAAGATGAAAGAAAAGAAAAGGGTTTCAATAGGGAAAGAAAAAAAGAAAAGAAAAGAAAGCTTACCCGGTTGCTTTAGGGTTTCAGTGACCCGTCGAGTTGCAAAAACAGGTTGAGGCCCAACAATCAAAAGCCGCAAAGCAGAATCGTTACGGCACGCGAGTTCAGCGATTTTACGTCTGAGCACGACGTGTCCACGATTTCACCTTCAACAGAACACGTTCTAGGATCGAGCACGGCTATGGCTGCTCAACACGTAGAAACATGTGATTTCACGTGTAGAAATGCGATTTTGACTACCATGTTTCTATTGCGAAAGCCAAGATGACCCCTTTGAAAGTAGACCATCACAACAGTAAAGGAGAAGCTGGTCTGCTTTACAAAACATAGAAATAATCAGACAAGTAATTACAAGTAATAAGGGAAAAATAGAGCAAATGAGATTTCAAGAGGAAGCCTTCAAAACATGAGCAAGTCACTAATTATTGTTATAAAAATACCCTCATAGTTGAGGGTATGAAAAAAGAATATCAAAAGAAAAAGGAAGTAAAAGCAATCGTGTAAAAGAAATTAAAGCTTTTTGCAATTGCATGCTCATAAAGAAGTAACTGTGAATTGTCAAGGGAATGCAAAACAAATGTACCAGACAATACCCCCACATATTCAGACAGTTATAAGTTAGAAGATCAAGACAGCTGTACCAATCAGAGTACTAAATGGTAACAATAAATGACTATAAACCGAAAGGTATATCCTCTTCTAGTTACAAGCCTTAAAACACTCATTATCAGAATTGTAAACAAAAAATGCCAGCAACAATAATAGATGTAAGGCTACATTATGGTCAGTTCAGTAACAGTCAGCATAAATGGCAGCAATAATCAGCATAAAGGGCATTCAAGAGCATCATTAATGGATCAGTAAATCAGAATGAAACCAACAGGTCATCTCTAACATACAAAAAGACACACAACATAGAAATTAGGGGGAGTGGAGACAGAAATCATACACGTTCATGACTCTCAAATTGGTAGCCAAAAGACACACATCCAGATATTTTTCAGCATACATACACCTCACATAATTTCCATAATCACAACAAACTTCTAGAGAATTCATACTTTCATTATCTACACACATACAAAAAGATCACATACCCTCATATCACTCCAGTAACATATACCACGACATAACCGAAGACCATATATCCATATTCCTTATCCCTTACACACATATCATCTAGCTACATCTATCCACAATCTTTGCTATTCATCACGACAAATCACACACATACCCATAGTAGAGAGATTTGTTGGCAATAAACCACACAAACCCAGTCACATACATAACACCACTCTGCAACAAGTATCAACGAGGATCAACAGAGTATCAAAAGGGGTCCAAACATACAAGGCAAAAGGTAAAGAGCACATTAAGGTAAAATATGTATCATATCCAATAAACATCAATGAAATTGTATCCCACAAGCAAATAATCATGCATATCCTTTCATGTTGATTACCAATAATCGATGTTTAGCATATACTTCAACCGGTTTCATGAGAACATATATATTGTTATGTGATTTAAAATAGAAACAACACATAAATTGAGATGACCCTGATTGTATGTTAGTGTTCTGAATTAGCATTCATAAATGATTCATCAAGGTATCCAAACAATAATAACTTAATGTAGAAATATAGATGGAGTATAGCATGTTACCAAATCTGTTTATCCTCTTTGACGGCGTTGGTCTCAAACTCAAGGTTGCGAATGAGTTGATTCATGAGCATTATTGGATCTACTCTTAAAAAGGAAACCAGGT